CATCTTTTTGGCACCGGGCCATCATTCTGATTCTATCTATGATCTCGCCTCATTTGCTCCTTAGTGACATGGCTTCAAGTCCAGGAAATAATTTTGCCTCAGAGAGTTGCCTTGATTACCCCAAGTAAAATGAGGAAATGTGCTTTGAAACCAATCCATTGAAGTCATTTATTGCTCAGGCTCGCAACTGGATCAGAGATGTCTTCACTGACCGTGGTCTTCTGCAAGTTTCTTACTTTCTGAGCCTCAAACTTCCTCTTCAGTAAAGGGAGACCAATGGCAAGATCTAATCCTAACACTGTGTTGTGAGACTGAAACAGGTCAAGGGTGTAAAGCATCGAGCACAGCGTGGTACCAAGGGAGCTAGCTAGTATCAGCTTTTCACAATAAAGCAATAACTTACCTTTTGGGGCATTTCAGAGGGTGAGACAAAATCCATTTCTCAGTCAAAGAGCCTATTCTCTCTGCCTATACAACCCCTTCATCCCTTTCTACAGATCTCTGCTTTCTTGCTTCTTCCTCTCTCTACTTTTATTTTCCCATCATCCTTTCATTATCCTCTGCAAACAAAGGTTCTCTCCCTTAACTGCTGGCCATAAAAAATGAAAGCAAAAACACAATGGACCTTGCTCAACAACCTCTAAATGAAGTCTTAGTGTTACTTATTTACAAAGAGGTACTTTTTTTTTTTTTTTGGAGACATGGTGACAAGGTCTCATTTTGTTGCCCAGGCTGGAGTACAGTGCCATGATCACAGCTCACTGCAGTCTCGACCTCCCAGGTTCAAGCAATCCTCCCACTTCAGCCCCCAAAGTAGCTGGGACTACGCGCTACCATGCCCAGGTAATTTTTGTGTTTTTTTTGCAGAGATGGAGTTTTACCATGTTGGCCAGGCTGATCTCAAACTCCTGAGCGCAAGTGATCTACCTGCCTAGGCCTCCCGAAGTGCAGGAATTACAGGAGTAAGCTACCACATCCAGCTGAAGGTACATTTTTTTAAAACATACAACAAAAATATCTGAATTAAATTGTTTCTTAGGTGGATTCTCACCTGATTGCTTTCTGCTAGAAAATAATTTTGTTAGAAAACAAACAGCCAGGCGCAGTGGCTTATGCCTATAATTTCAGAACTTTGGGAGGCCAAGGTGAGTGGATCTCCTGAGGTCAGAAGTTTGAGACCAGCCTGGCCAACATGGTAAAACCCCATCTCTACTGAAAATACCAAAATTAACCGGGCATGGTGGCGCACGCCTGTAATCCCAGCTACTTGGGAGGCTGAGGCAGGAGAATAGCTTGAACCTAGGAGGCGGAGGTTGCAGTGAGCCGAGATCGCGCCACTGCACTCCAGCCGGGGCAAGAAGAGTGAAACTCTGTCTCCAAAAAAAAAAAGAAAAAGAAAAAGAAAGTCACAAAAAGAAAGAAAAACGAATGTACTAGAAAACAGACCCAAGCAAATCAATAAGTAGTTATACAGCATTAAATTTTGTTAAGCCCCTTAAAAAAACATAATGATAAAGTGCTTAGGCATCAGAAAAAGTGTCTCCGTTACTCACTAGCTACCATTTCCTCAAGTATACAATGGGTATTTTACCACCTACCTCAGAAAACTTGCAGAATGAATGGAATCATTTACGTAAGGAATGAGAACTCCAGCTGTTACATGGCAAACAGTCAGTAAGTGGCAGCTGATTTCATACTAATTTTTGTGCCACCTCTGTGAATACAGGTGGAAATGACAATCCATTGACTAAAACATGACAGCCTCTAACTTAATGTATAAGTCTTTCCCAAAGTGAACCCTGTTCCATAAGATCTAAAGATTCATTCAGGGCTTTTTGTATTTCACAACTCCTCTGACAGTTATCCGGCACTATTCTTTCCGTCTTTGAAAAGCACATAGGGCATCCCTGCTAACCCTGAGGCACACAGCACTGAGGAGTGCTCACTGTCCTCCGGCCGCTTTTGAAGTCCCGTGGCCAGAGAAGTTCTTTGTCAAAGCCACGATCCCTACCACTGTCTAGGACACATCTTCCCACATTTTCAAAAGCTAAAGACATTTTTAGGTGCAACAGGAAGGTGATGAAATCCAAGTGGCTAAACTGATAGCAAAAAACATGAAAAGGAATCTATCAGTGAATCTCAGGCCTGCGCCTAATAGGTCTATAAAGCAGCTGCTGCTCGGAAAAACCCACTTCTCAGAGCCCATGAGAGTGTCCAGCCTGGAGGACACCAACCTCGTCGGGGGATTAGGGCAGCTTCTTTATAGACAAAGACATGAACCTTCTGGGTCACGATGTTTAGAAACCCCTAGTGAAAGTGCTGCACAGAAGCCAGCTCTGCTCGTAAGGCTCAGTCACTTCCGCATGGAGCTCTTACGTTTTAGGGGGGAAAAAAAACATTAAACACATTTCTCTATTGGATGATCTATGCCCAAATCATAAAAATATTATCCTGCTCCATAAAAATGAGTCTGCAGTTAGGTCAAAATTTTCCATCCACCATACATGCTCAAAATGTTTAGTAAAAGAAGACTTTCCATCTACCATAAATGCTTCATTCCCCTTTCTGGCAGTTATAAATTACTTTAAAATTATCAATTTCCTGTTGGAACAAGTCAGAGTGACTCAGAGAAAAGAAAATCAGAACAGGGATAAAGCTATCAGTGGCACAAGAGAGGGAAAAGGGTGGAAAAGAGAAAAGACGTAGGCTGAAAAATGAACTCAAAAATTAACTGAAAACTCAGACTGTGTGGTCCATGCAAAAGTGAACAAGAGAGACACAGAACCAGAATGCTATCTTAAGGGTGCAGGCTGGGAAGGGAAGAATGGCTACAAACCAAGGCCAAAAGTCAAAAGCCACAAAAACACAGGTCGTATACTCATCCTGGAGCCACGGCTGAAGGACCCCATGGCTGGCCAATGAGATTCGAAACCATGGCTGACACTCTACACGAGCCCATGGGTTCAGGGAAGGCACGAGACTGCCAAAGCAACCCTGAAGGTAGAAACCTAATGAGGAGATCTGCTAAGTGGACACCCCACGAAAACTGCACGCCTGGTTTGGGGTCCAGATGCAAAGGCTGCCGAGGGACAGAGCACGCCGCTGAGCACAGAAGTGCCTTTGGAACATGCACCGGGGAGTGTTCAAAAAGAAAAAGGCAACACACTTTTGAGAAACTGTACCTCCTTCACTGATTTTTCTCTAGATTTTTGGCAGACAAGTAACTTTAGCAAATATAAAACGCGTATGCTTTGAGGCTATTAATGGTTCATTACGAATGGACTCACATGGAGTCCAAAAGACAAAGGAAAATGGTGTGTGGTACCACGTAACATAGGGACTCCCAAACCTAAAGATCTTCCAAGGCAGAGATCTGCAGAGAGCCTCAGCTTCTGCCTTGAGACCCCACAAAGAGAAAAGCTAAATAAGGCTATAGACAGCGGAGGAGGGGAGGGAGACTCTGTATTTCTGTCATGAAAAATGGCATTAATCCAAGTTCTAACCTGAATAGCACATAAGCCAGGCTTGCTAACATTATATTTGTAACCTAGGGTTTATATTACAAAGGACATTCTGGTACTTTCCTTTTTTTTTTTTTTTTTTTTGCGACGGAGTCTCACTCTGTTGCCCCCGTTGGCGTGCAATGGCGTGATCTCGTCTCACTGCAACCTCCACCTCCCAGTTCAAGTGATTCTCCTGCCTCAGCTTCCTGAGTAGCTGGGATTACAGGTGTATACCACCACACCTGGCTAATTTTTCTATTTTTAGTAGAGATGGGGTTTCACCATGTTGGCTAGGCTGGTCTTGAACTCCTGACTTCGTGATCTGCCCACCTCAGCCTCCCAAAGCGCTGGGATTGCAGGCGTGAGCCACCATGCCCTGCCTCAAGTACTTTTTGTAGTTCCAAAGGCAGCCATGCAATGTCCTTCCAGGTTTACAAAGAAGAAAGGCAAGATGACAGAACAGCTCCCTGCAAGCCATGCAGCTCATCCTGGTCACCCACTCTTAAACTCCGTCCTTGCTGCTCTAAGCCAGTTCTCTTATTAGAGCCACTGTTCCGCCTCCACTATGTGCAGACAGAAACTTTTCTTATCTTCTGAGGCATACATCATTTAACTCTCCCAAATTTCCCCTCCATGTGCAACAAATGAAAACAAAACATAGGGAGAAAAAGAGGCATCAGAGTTTCAGAAAATCCTCAACACTTTGTTTCTACAGAGATTTGGCAACAATTATAAGACACAAAAATGCCATACCTGCTTCATCTCCCCAATATGGATGTGCTCTTTTTGTTTCTCTTCATATAAACATCTCAGGAAAGAAATAATCAATTCATTCTCTCGCTGCTCATTTCTTGGTCTCAATTTCTTAAAAAAAGAAAAATCAGAAACAGGATTTGTTTTTAATCATCAACAATATTGCTAAGCCATCTCTTCATAAATGGTAACAGCTTCCATCCACTAAACTAGTGCCTTTACCCAATCATCTCACTAGGGGGCACTAACGATCCTAAAAGTAGAGAGAATTTCTAAAAAGCAACAGTGGAGCCAGTGGACCAGATTTAGTCTTTGATCTCTGATGTCGTCATATCTAAAATGAATCTTTAATATCAGAGAAAGACACAGTCAAAATATTTAACAAATAAATAGCTTTTAATACAAGAGGAAAAAACAAAATCCATGAAAATACCCAGAGGCCAGGGGTCATAATGACCAAACATTTAGAAACTCTTAGGGGACTGGCAAGGAAAACGGCATCTGAATTCAGTGTCATAATTTCCTATGTCAAATGTGTTCACCGTGAAGTACTCTGTGGAATCCCCACGGGGCAGGCCCTTCCATACACAATTTTATGGCAGGTACTAAATTTCTTTTATATTTCTTTAAAAAAAAATTTTTTTCTCTCTATGCCTTTTAACTTTGAGACAGGGTCGTGGCACAGCACACTGGACCAGAAGTCAGGACGTGTAGGTTCCGCCTGCTGCCTAGAAGTGGGACCGAGGCCAGGTCCCTTCATCTTAGCTTCCCTGTCTGCTGGAGTGAGGACTGTGCACAGAGGAAACTCCAGGCTCTCCTCCTGCTCCCAAATGCTTTGGATTTGAAATGCCAGAGTGAGCTTTTTTCAAAGCCACCTAATTTAATGTATTATTTTATCTGTATATGCAGAAAGTAAAATGAATTAATGAGTTGCTTTAGGAAACACAAAGTTTTTAGTCTATAAACTTTGAAAATACATCCCCTTTTTTTTTTTAGACAGAGTCTTGCTCTGTTGCTCAGGCTGGAGTGCAGTGGTGCAATCTCAGCTCACTGCAACCTCCGCCTCCTGGGTTCAAGTGATTCTCTTGCCTCAGCCTCCTGAGTAGCTGGGACTACAGGCGTGTGCCACAATGCCTGGCCAATATCTTTGTATTTTTAGTAGAGATGGGGTTTCACCATGTTAGCCGGGATGGTCTCGATCTCCTGACCTTGTGATCTGCCTGCCTTAGCCCTCCAAAGTGCTGGGATTACAGGCATGAGCCACCGCGCCAGCATATTGACAAGTATCCATTGTCTGTTCCTCCTGTCTCCCTATGCCAAACTTCCAGCCTGCTCTTTAAAACAAATTCAGTGAAATAAATGGATCAACTATACAAAGATCTGCGTCTGGGTCAACACCACTCCTGGTGACCTTCCTCCTCAGCTAACTGAGGAAGTGACTTTACCCGGCATGTCATAACCATGCAAAGCAAAGGTAGCACTAACACAGACTTTCTGACATGTCCTTTCTTAAAGAGAGAGAGAAAAAGGTAAGTTGATCTTGTTACTTAAGGAAAAGATAGTTAATGATCAGAAGGGCTTGTTTTCATTGAGGACTTCCTTGTTCTTTCAAATTTCGGACTGAAGTATTAAATATTTTAGAGGCTAAAGCAGACACTCTCAACGTGTATTCTGGGCTGTGAAACCCAATATTACAAAACTTTACATATTACATGCGACAAGTGGATTTCTCTAGAGAAAGCTGGCATTAGATTCTCAAACAGGAAAGTGGCAGTACTCCACAATCCCAGCTTAACACTGCTAGATCAAAGGGTGATGGGTACACAGAGCCCAAATGTCCACAAAACAACAAGAACTCTCATTTATGGTGGGCAGGGATGCAAAACAGTACAGCCACTATGGAAAGCGGGCTGGCAGTTTCTGATAAAAGTAAACCATTCTTACCACATGACCCAGCAACTGCACTCCTTGGTGTTTACCCAAATGAGCTGAAAACTTACATCTACACAAAAACCTATCATCTCATGTTTACAGCATCCTTTATTCACAGTTTTCAAAACTTAGAAGCAACAAAATGTGCATCAGTTGGTGAATGGGTAAAGAAACTGTAGTGAATGCATCCATAAAACCGAATATGATTCAGCAACAAGAAATGAGCTATCAGGCCATAAAGAGCCATGGAAGCACCTTAAGTGCACACTGCTAAGTGAAAGAAGCCAGTCTGAAAAGGCTACTGTGTGATTCCAACTACATGACATGCTGGAAAAGGCAAAACTATGGAGAGAGCAAAAAGATCAAGGATTAGGGAGGAGGTGGCAGAACAAGCAGAGCACGGGGATTTTTAGGGCAGTGAAACTATTCTGTATATCGTAATGATGGGCAGATGACATTAAACATCTATCACAACCCACAGAATATAGACCACCAACAGTGAACCCAAATATAAACCATGGACTTCAGCTAGTATTAATGTACAAATATTGGCTCATCAATTATAATGAATGAACCCTCAGCAATGCAAGATATTATATTAAAAATAGGAGAAACTGGCTGGGCGATGCGGCTCACGCCTGTAATCCCAGCACTTTGAGGGGTTGAGGTGGGCAGATCATGAGGTCAGGGGTTTGAGACCAGCCTGGCCAAAATGGCAAAACCCTGTCTCTACTAAAAATACAAAAATTAGCTGGCCGTGGTGGCACATACCTGAATCCTAGCTACTCGGGAGGCTGAGGCAGGAGAATCACTTGAACCCGGGAGGAGGAGGTTGCAGTGAGCCGAGATCGCGCCACTGCACTCCAGCCTGGGCAACAAGAATAAAATTGTCTAACAACAACAAAAAGGAGAAACTGTATGGTGGGGGACAGTAAAAGCTGATAAGGGAACTCTGTGCTTTTCACCCCATTTTCCTGTAAACCTAAAACTGCTCTAAAAAAATTAAGTCTATTAAAAAAAAATGGTCCAGGGAAGCAGACAGTAATTACAAGGGGCCTCTGAGCAAGTACAGGCACCTAATGGTTGACCTATCCTTTCTTCTCCTGTATCTTTAATTAAACCTTCCAGCTATCCCCACAAGAAAATGTATATTTTGCTTTAAGAAATTCTTAATCATCATCTATTTTAAAAGGCTAATCATACAGTAATAAGAGGAGGGGTGTTAATATATTTTCCCCCTCAAAATACACATTAAAAAACTATTCAGGCCAGGGACAGTGGCTCACACCTGTAATCCCAGCACTTTGGGAGGCCCAGGTGGGCAGATCACGAGGTCAAGAGATTGAGACCATCCTGGCCAACATGGTGAAACAGTCTCTATTAAAAATACAAATTAGCCAGGAGTAGTGGCGCATGCCTGTAGTCCCAGCTACTTGGGAGGCTGAAGCAAGAAAACCACTTGAACCCAAGAGGCAGAAGTTGCAGTGAGCCGAGATCATGCCACTGCATTCCAGTCTGGTGACAGAGCAAGACTCTACCTCAAAACAAAACAAAACAAAACAAATATATATATATATTATATATATATATATTATATATATATATATATATATATACACACACACACACACACACACACACACATATATATTCAAATAGGAAGAAAATTAGATTACAACTGAGAACAGTATACTACCATAGTTGTTTTTCATTAAAAACTGATAAGAATCAGAGACCGCATCATGGAGCCTGCTAAACATCACAGAGAAGTCACTAAAGCAGAGAAACGCACGTTTATGATATCATACATACACAATCAAGAAATAAATCTTTTTTTAATGTAATTCTGAATTACAATTAGTGAGGTATCATCTTCCTAAAACCTCCCATGCAACTTCCCCATCCTCGATAGTGGCAAATCATTATTTCTTAAAGTGATTTAACTTTATGAACATTCATCAGTCAGAGAGACAAGTCTTAGGAAAATAATGAGGACTCAAGTTGGGTGACATCACTTTGCCATCAAATTACTTGCTTGTTCAAAATTAAACTATGGTGTCACAAGCCAGAATGATGGTTACCTGGAGGCAGACACAAGACAGGACTATGAAGCAATAGAAATACCCCATTTCTTTCTTTCTTTCTTTTTGGAGACAGAGTCTCACTCTATCCCCGAGGTTGGAGTGCAGTGGCACAATCTCGGTTCACTGCAACCTCTGCCTCCCAGGTTCAAGCAATTCTCATGTCTCTGCCTCCCAAGTAGCTGTGACTACAGGCACATGCCACCACGCCCAGCTAATTTTTGTATTTTCAGTAGACACAGGGTTTCCCCATGTTGGCCAGGCCGGTGTTGAACTCCTGACCTCAGATGATCCACCTGCTTCAGCCTCCCAAAATGCTGGGATTACAGGTGTGAGCCATCACACCTGGCCAGAAATGCTCCATTTCTTAATCTTGGCACTGGCTGCACAGGTGTATTTACCTTATAAAAATTCACTGAACTATACACCATTGATTTGTGGGCTTTTTTATCTATATGCTATACTTCCATTTATAAAAGAATATTACAAAACAATTGCCTGTTAAAAGTAATAAAACTAAGTTAGTTATATCTTTCTTAACCTATAAGAGGCTTATAAATTGTCATAAAGGCAATTCAGAAATAAATTGCCAGCCTGACAAGGTGGCATGTACCTGTAGTCTCAGCTTCTCAGGAAGCTGACGTAGGAGGATGGCTTGAGCCCAGGAGTTCGCAACTGTAATGTGCTCTTAACACACCCTAGAAAACCGCTGCACTCCAGCCTGGGTAAAACAGTGAACCCGTCTCTTACAAAAAATTAATAAATAAATCAATACATTTCCAACACTGATCAATGCATTCCAGAATGTTGAGAAAGCCCATGGTCTTCTAAGGGAACTACTTAAAAAGACAATACTCGTCTGGGCACGGTGGCTCACGCCTGTAAATCCCAGCACTTTGCGAGGCTGAGGCGGGTGGATTGCCTGAGCTCAGGAGTCCAATACCACCCTGGGCAACATGGGGAAACCCCGTCTCTACTAAAATACAAATAATTAGCTGGGTGCGGTGGCATGCGCCTGTAGTTCCAGCTACTCGGGAGGCTGAGGCAGGAGAATCGCTTGCACCCAGGAGACGGAGGTTGCAGTGGGCTGAGATCACGCCATTGTACTCCAGTCTGGGTGAGAGAGCAAGACTCTGTCCTCAAAAAACAAAAACAAAAACAAAAAACACTCACTTCGACACTACATTATAACATCTTTTTAAAGATTATAATCACATTTTATAAGAAATAATTTTAAAATGATGAAAAATCCAAGCTGAAATACATTCTTCAGAAAGTTAAAAAAAAAAAAAATAAGTCTCTTCTGACCATTAACCTTTAACTTGTGAAGTCACGTTATTTGATGAATTAATGCCTATTGAGTAGGCACTGATTTATCTAGTCAGTATTTAACTAAGTCATTTCCTGAAACACACTCATATAGATGAGAAGTAGACTTGGAGATATTTCATTTACTAGCCCCACTTTGGCTTCACAGCAATTCTTATCCTGAGATGACCAATTTGGATTTAGCATATTCACCCAGTAACAGACAGCATGGGGTCATCCTCACATATGCCCAGCAAGATATGTTTGAAAATTAAACATTTCAAAAAGCTCATAAATAAAAAGATGGCTTTGCAGTGTGGTATGCCCACATGCCTGTCTGGCATCAAGTTCTGAGTGCTCAAAATTGGCTTATTTACAGCAGAGATAGCCTCCAGCATCGTTTACACAGTGATTATTGATTTCTTTACAGCTGTTAAAGTTCCATTTTTTTTGGGGCATTAAATATTCATTTACATAATCCTTGACTATGGTATGTTTTAATAACTAAGTAATCATGTACCATTAATTTCAACAGTAATTACATTTCTCTTATGAAAATGTGCACGTGGAGGAGTTTTTCAGAAACAAATCCCACTCCAGGAAAGACTGAACAAAGGAAAATATTTACCATTCTATTTATAAGAGGACTCAGGAAACTGCAAATCCACCTTTTTCCTTACAACCTTTTTGAAATGTATGATGTTCAAACACGGTAGCAGGCACTGCTGTCTAAAATGAAACCAACGACTTGGGTTTATAAAATGTTTTCTGAAACCAAGAATGGTCATTGAGGACATAATGAAACAAGACCATCTAACAAGCCACTAGAAAAAGAGATTCATGGGCAAATCTGTATCATTCAAAAACCAGCCACACTCACAGTGACGGAGGACAGAGCAGGAGCTGGCTTTTCAAAGCTGGGGAACACCACAATTTCCCTTTGTGTTCGGAGCAACTAAACAATTTCAGAGACCTCTAGAACGACACACAGGGGCCTCAGGATATTAACTGAATGCCTTTTTTTTTTTTTTTTTTTTTTTGTAACTGGAGTCTTGCTCTGTCACCAGGCTGGAGTGCAGTGGTGCAATCTCCACTTCCCGGGTTCAAGCGATTCCCCTGCCTCAGCCTCCCAAGCAGCCAGGACTACAGCCACGTGCCACCACACCCAGCGCTAACTGGTTTTGGTTTTTGCTTTGGTTTTTTTGTATTTTAGTAGATACAGGGTCTCACCATGTTGGCCAGGCTGGTCTTGAACTCCTGACCTTGTGATCCGCCCGCCTCAGCCTCCCAAAGTGCTGGGATTACAGGTGTGAGCCACTACACCCAGCTTGAAGGCTTTTTTTTTAAAAAAAGCAAATCTTAGTCAGTGACTTTGCCATGATACACTCAGTGTCTAAAAGCCTGCATGAGTCAAAGAGAATCTCAGAATCATGTCCATTAGGAACATCTCATTGCTGCAGAGGAGTATTTTGTGTATTACCTATACTGATTCACCACACTGTGTTAGGGAGAGCTATGTGGTGCTGTCTAAACGAAAAAGAAAACCCATATAATGAAAGGCAAGTTCCTCTTTGCTTGCTAGAACAACGTTTCTTAAAGTGACTGGAAAGCCCTAGAACGGTAAGTGGGCCAGCATTAGATGAGAAGGGCCCAGCTTGAATTGTAAATGCATTAACAATCAGAAGCATATTGTCCATTTTTGAATTCCAAATGCAAATCACATATTTGTCTAAGAGTATTGTGTACTTAGAACTCTAAAGATCTTTTAAGAAAAAACAAAGTAGCATGTCTCAAGTTGATTCAGAAGAAAACAAGAAAACATAAAGACAAGTGAAAATTGTGAAAATTACCCTCTAGGCTATTTGAGACATTAAAAAAAAACATCTTTCTATGCTCTCTTCCTATAGCATATGCCAATTCTACTGTAGAAGGAGAACAAAGAAATAAGCCAAGGCCTCTAACATGTGATTAAAAAGAGAAAGACGGCTGGATGTGGTGGCTCACGCCTGTAATCCCAGCACTTTGGGAGGCCAAGGCAGGCAGATCACAAGGTCAAGAGTTCAAGACCAGCCTAGCCAATATGGTAAATCCCTGTCTCTACTAAAAATACAAAAATTAGTTGGGCATGATGGCAGGTGCCTGTAATCCCAGCTACTCAGGAGGCTGAGGCAGAAGAATCGCTTGAACCTGGGAAGCGGAGGTTGCAAGTGAGCCGAGGTCGCACCATTGCACTCCAGCTCTGAGCGAGAGTGAGACTCCATCTCAAAGAAAAAGAAAAAGAAAAAGAAAGAAAGACAATCCATTCATTGTTTTACACTAACAGAAAGTGGATCGTGGCTCCTAATATAGTCTTTCCCCAGTGAGGAGGGAAAAGCACTTACAACCCACCCAGTTAACTGTCTTGTTTCGTATAATGGCTCCTCTATTTGTAGAACCTGCTGCCCGCCCCTCAAAAGGAGATATTTATTCTTTGTTTTGATGCGCCTCCCTCCCGAAAAAAGTGCCAGGAAACCATAGAAAATGCCCCTCAGCTTAAGCAGACATGAAATTTTGGATGACCTCATTAAAGATTCATAATGAACAGACTACAGGCATGCCAGCACACACAGCATGGTCTCCCTGAGATACATTGCATCTAAAGGCAAGGGCAGGAGCTAGTTTCCTAGTTTACTGCAGAAAGCTGATGAGCTTGAATTCTGTTTTGTTTTTGTAGGTTTGATATATTATCAGGTTCAAGTAGACAGCATGACCTAAATTTATTTTTTAAAATTAAAAAAAAAAGGGGTGGAGGAGAAGGAACAATTCTGTCCAAGTTCATGTACCAAACGTTGTCTCATTCGACTCCCACACTTAGGGCTGAAATCCTGAGCGGGAAAGGGTGCGCAGAGGTTTCCCAGGGAACAGATGAGTGCATGTAGACCAGAGGCCAGGCCTTCTGTCTCCCAGCCTGAGGCGCTTTCCATTTTATGATTTCCTCTTTCTTATTCTAACATTTGTTTAAGGAGGAGGCTTGCCTGTTTCAGTTACTTTCACTATTTAAGCTAAGGCCTGATGGGAATCTGCCATTCTCACCTGGACCCCCTTTGGGACTGTGAAAGCTTAAGCCAAGCATGTCCAACACGTGGCCCAGAACGGCTATGAATGCAGCCCAACACAAATTCATCAACTTTCTTAAAACATTATGAGATATTTTTCTTGCAATTTTTTTTTTTTTGCTTATCAGCTAACGTTAGTGTCTTTTATGTGTGGTCCTGGACAATTCTTCTTCTTCCAATGTGGCCCAGGGAAGCCCAAAGACTGGACACCCCTGAAAGCAAGACGAACTCAAGGCACCTTCCCCCAGGCTGGGACAACACTGGTTTGCTATTTTGTATACACAGCATTTCCCAGGCAAACTGCCTGCCTTTTCTTCCCTTCTAGAAATTAAAATCTGTACTGTACCTGAACCTCCTCAAAAATTGTCGCCTGCTCCTGATTAGTTAATGTCGTCAGGTGCTTTTGCAGTTCTAGTTTGGTTTTGGAAGAATTCATTCCTATTAAGAGAAAAAAGAGAGGCATGAAAAAAGTCCATGTAAAAGGTATGAGACAGAAAGTTACCTCTTCTACACACATCCTCTTCACATTCTTTCCCAGTTCAGGCTTTTAAGGTTTTATGAAAAAAAAAATATTTTTTTGACACGGAATCCCACTCTGTCATCCAGGCTGGATTGCAGTGGTGCAATCACTGAAGCCTCGACCTCCCAGGCTCGAGCGATCCTCCCACTTCAGCCTCCCCAGTACCTGGGACTACTAGTGCGTGCTACCACGCCCAGCTGATTTTTGTATTTTTAGTAGAGAAGAGGTTTCGCCAAACTGCCCAGGCTAGTCTCGAGCTCCTGAGCTCAAGCAATCTGCCCACCTCAGCCTCCTAAAGTGCTGGGATTACAGGCATGAGCCACTGTGCCTGGTGTGGAAGTTTTCATCAATAATAGTGTCGCTGTTATCACTGCCATCATCTTCTAACTGAGCTCTGATATGCTGGACACTGTATAATAAGCATTAAACTGGCCGGGCACAGTGGCTCATGCCTGTGGTCCCAGCACTTTGGGAGGCCAAGGTGGGCAGATCATGACGTCAAGAGATCAAGGGATCCTGGCCAACATGATGAAACTCCATCTACTAAAAATACAAAAATTAGCTGATGTGGTGGTGTGCGCCTGTAATCCCAGCTACTCAGGAGGCTGAGGCAGGAGAATTGCTTGAACCTGGGAAGTGGAGTTTGCAGTGAGCCGAGATTGCACCACTGCACTTCAGCCTGGCAACAGAGTGAGATTCCGTCTCTCAAAAAAAAAAAAAAGGCATTAAACTTGCACCATTTAATTCTCAAAACAATCTGATGGAGAGGATGCTATGATCCCCAGACAGCTAAGAAAACTAAGACCCAGAGAGCTTACGTCACTTCCACAGACCACTAATTTGGACTCTACCTCAGGCTTGTGTGGCTCCAGATTACTTTCTCCATGTTAAAACACCTCACATCATCAGAACCTTCTCCACTGAAAATGATCAATCCTGGTATCACTACGTAAACCCGACAACTTTTTCTTAGGGAAAAACAACTCCTATTCTGTTGGAAAACTGACCCACATTTCTCTTGCATGCCAAGTTCCCGTCACATAAAACTGATTCATGCGGCTAACAATTTTTCCGACACCACCGCATGCTTATTAATAATGCAATTAACATTACATTTAATTAACATCACAAAGGGTTTTAAGTTATAAAAACAAAGCCATTACATAATTTTAGTACCCATTAGAACCTGATGTTTCAAGAAACTTCTTCCCCATACAAATCCAGCTCAGAGCCTGCACTGCCTTTTCTTGATGTCCAGAGATAAATGTCACCCGTGATGAGAAGACTGACAATGAAAGGATGTGCTGACCCAACAGCCGTGAAAAGAAAACAACTGCACGGGTTATTTTTCTTCTGAGGACGGCTTTCGCCTCATCCACCTGGCACTCTCTTCTCATCCTACCAGGGTGGCCCTGAGGCAGAGGCGTGGCCAAGGCTCTGGGCTGGAGAACAGTGTTGAGGCACCTCCATCACTAAGGACGGCCGGGAGGGAAATCTGCTGTGCCTGGGCCTTGTCTGTAGGGACTTGGAAGCCGTGCCTTCATCTTACAGATGGGTTTGCTGACGCCCAGAGAAGCCAGATGACCTGTGAAAGGCCAGGAGGCCAACTGGCAGCCAAATCTGCCCAAAGCCACAGCTCCTCCCCTCCCACGACAGCTGAGGCAGAGCCCACAACCTCTCAGTAGGCTGACACTGTGGCAGGGGTGGCTGCCCCAGTTGCACTGTTGCGGCCATCTCTGCTTCCAGAAAGACATTCTTTTTCCCTTTTTTTTAACCCAAGAAAACCCTGAGGCCACCATAGAAATAATATTTAAGTGACTACTATGCCATTTCACTTAATACTTCATGTGGATTATTTCATTTCACCCTCAAATGCATACTAGAAATGGGCCTTTTTCTTTTTTTCTTTTTTTGAGACAGAGTCTTGCACTGTTGCCCAGGCTGAAGTGCAGGGGCGTGATCTCAGCTCACTGCAACCTTCACCTCAAGCAATTCTCCTGCCTCAGCCTCCCAAGTAGCTGGGACTACAAGTGCCTATACCATGCCTGGCTAATTTCTGTATTTTTGGTAGAGATGGGGTTTCACCATATTGGCCAGGCTGGTCTCAAACTCCTGACCTTGTGATCTGCCCGCCTCAGCCTCCCAAAGTACTGGGATTATAGATGAGATCCACTGCGCCTGGCCAAGCGCCTTTTTCTTAAGTAATCTCAATGCCCACCTGAAGAAACTGACACATATCCAAGTCAAGTATTTTGTCCAAGGTCATCAGCTAAGTAAGGGACAAAGTTGGAATATGAACTGTCTGCTTGCTTCCAGCAACCAAACTCTTAACTGCTCCACTGCCCTCCCTGCCTAGGAGAGCCAGGTCACCTGACACTCAGGTGGCTGCAATACAAGAGTGAGCTCAGAGGTGGGTTAAAGTGCAGGAAGGTCGTCGCGTTTGTCAAAGTGCAGTGCAGGCACTCTTTTGGCAAGCTGTCAGGTCACACGAAGCCAGGGAAACAGACAAGGCTTTACTGTATCAACTACTGAAATGCTGATGCAAAACAGAGTTAGGATTTTTGAATAAAATAACCACTAAGTCATCATGCACTAAAAATCCCCCCTGCATATGGAGGACATCTCTGACAGTAGAAATATCATATTTTGGAAAAATGATATTGTCTCATGAAACACCCGATGTGGGAAATAAAACCCAAAGCCTAAGAAGAATTAGACTAACTCGACACTCGGCCAATCTCAGGTGAAATCCACAAAATGCAGCCTATTCTTCGCTTTCCAATGGTGAAGCAATCCCGTGAGCAGTTTCACCCTGTCTACAGGATGCCTGACTCATGAGGTCCTTCCCACATCCCTAAACAGTGAGGCCGCCTAGGTCCGAGCCCCTCCCACATGGATTCTCACACATCTAGCCCCTTGTGGGTCATTTCTGTACACCCTCTGAAAACACCCTTCAGTTCCGCACTGAAGGCATCTCCTCAGAGAGCCCCAGGTGATGCCAAAATGGCTTATGGAGAAGAATGGGAAGCAAGGATCGAAGCAGAAAAGGTAACCAGGGTCAAGGGAGCTTCCAAACTACAACCCTTCCCGGCTCCTCTTGTCAGTGAGGCTGCCTCCCTGGTGGTGCAGAAACAGCCCTTATTAGAGGGAGCACTGATGAATGACTGTGTTTTACTGAAGGAAAATTTGCTCTGAGAGCAAAAGAAAATCTCAGTTCAACTACTTCTTTTTTTAATGAAAGTATAAATCAGTCCACTAATTCCCAAAATGCTCCTCAAGCCTTTAAAATAAGCAAAATACTATATAAATACCACTGAGTTGTATATGGTTCAAATACAGAACTGGCTACAGCCGCACTTCTGATGTGTTGTAAGTGCATGTTACAGCAGAGAGTGCAGCACAGTCAACATGACCAGCATTATTTATTCTATCTTACAGACTCTGGGGGATGACTTGACTACACTTACTGACTAAGAAAACACAATCTTAAAGTCTTTCTTTTTGTGGCCACATCACTAGTCCTCTCCACAGTTTTATAGAGTTCTTGATCAGACCATAACTGTCTGATAGAACTACTCTTACACCGGCCGGGTGCGATGGCTCATGCCTGTAATGCCAGCACTTTGGGAGGCCAAGGCAGGCAGATCACCTGAGGTCAGGAGTTCGAGACCAGCCTGACCAATATGATGAAACCCTAACTCTACTAAAAATACAAAAAATTAGCTGGGCATGAGGGTGTGCACCTGTAGTCCCAGCTACTCGGGAGGCTGAGGCAGGAGAATCACTTAAACCTGGGAGGCAGAAGTTGCAGTGAACTGAGATCGCGCCACCGCACTCCAGCCTGGGTGACAGAGACATTTCATCTCAAAAAAAAAAAAAAAAAAAAAGAACTACTCTTACACCAACATACAATGAGTTTTAATAAGCCACTTCATTCTACTTACTAGGAATACAACAGCAAAAAGCAAGGAACCCTAAAAGTGTTAATGTAATAACTAGCGCCTCGTTTACTAATAATGTGCCCTCTACACTTTTAGAAATGAGTTCCAACATGTAGGTAAAACTTACCCCCACCAGACTTCTAATTGCACTATGTAAGAATGTTCTGACATTAGTAGAGTTTTGTGCCTTCGTTGGATTTTATCAGGTGAAAGATGGATTAAATGATTAACTCCGAAATGACGGCAGCAAAATCCCTACCCTGATTCAACTTCTCAGCTGTAACTTTCTGAAAGCTAAGTCAGACCAAAGACAGATTTATCAAGGGCGCTCTGGAAGCATTCCAGTTCCTGCAGATCGTGATCTGCTTTATCTTCAAGGCCAAAGTCATTGCTGGCTTCTTAATAAGCTCTTAAGGGATATTTCTGTCATCATTTACCTTATCTTGGCAACCACTAGGAAAGGGTTAGTGATCCTCTCAGTTGGGAACTCTAGTTAAAGCACACATTTTCTTGTTCCCAGATATATTTTGTATAATGTCAGCAAATAGTAACAACGTGGAAAACACAGTTGAATACATTAATCCTGTTTCTTCAGTTTAAAGAGCACATTATGATGCCACAAATGACCCTTCCCAGACCTTAAGATGTCAATTGGGTGAATTTATCTCATTTAAAAAGGGAAACCAGATACTACTTCACATCTATCTGGAGGGCTTTCATCAAAAACAAAAAACAAAACAAAACAAAAACAGAAAGTAGCAAATTTTGGCAAGGACATAAAGGAACTGGGGTCCTTGCCCATTGCCAGAGGGATTATAGAACGCTGTGGAACAGTACGGCAGCTCCTCAAAAAAAAGTCAACATCAAATTACCGCATAACCCAGCAATTTCATTTCTGGACACATACCCAAAAGAACTGAAAGCAGGAACTTAAACAGGTATTTGCACATCAGCATTCATAGCAGCATTATTCACACAGTAGTCCAAAGGTGGAAGGAACCCAAATGTCCATGGACAGGTAAATGGATCAATAAAATGTGCTACACAAATATAATGGAGTATCATTCAGCCTCAAAAAGGAATGAAATTCAGGCGATGCTACAATACACATGAGCCTAGAAAACATTAGGTTAAGTGAAATAAACCAGAAACAAGAAGATAAATATTTTATGACTTCGCTTATACAAAGTTACCTAGAAACAGAATGGAGGTTGCCAGAGGCTGAGAGGGAGCGGAGCTGACACTGAATGAGTTTCAGTTTTGGAAGCTGGAAAAGTTCTGGAGATGCTCGTGGTGTGGACTGCACAACAATGTGAATGGACATAATGCCACTGAAGTGCATGCTTAAAGAAGGTTACAATGGGTTACATATATTTTTACAATAATTTTTTTAAAAAAAGGAAAATCAGATCTAAATAGCAATGTTGCTTTCTTTCCAAAATTATAGCTTCTAATAAACATTCGTCTTTTTTTTTTTTTTTTTTTGGAGATAGAGTTTCGCTCTGTTTCCCAGGCTGGAGTGCAATGGCGCAATCTTGGCTCACTGCAACCTCTATCTCCCGGGCTCAACAATTCTCCTGCCTCAGCCTCCCGAGGAGCTGGAGTTACAGGCATGCACCATCACATCCAACTAATTTTTGTAATTTAGTAGAAACAGGGTTTTACCATGTTGCCCAGGCTGGTCTTGAAATCCTGGCCTGAAGTGATGTGCCTGCCTCAGCCTCCCCAAGTGCTGGGACTACAGGTGTATAATAAACATTCTACATCTTGAGAAACAATCAAATTTGTGTTTCTTTTCATAATAATGTGGGTTGTTTAAATCATGTGACCCCCCCCGACAAGTCACAAAAAAGTCTTAGAAATCCTCCCATAAACAGAAAAAAAACACAAAATCATGAACAGAGAGGTGAAAACTCCTTCACCTTCCAGATGCCCTCAGATAAACATATCACCACTCCCTTTCTGTGTCAATGAATTCTGTCCTTTCCCTTCGCCCCTCCCTAGAGTCCCAGAGAGGGAGAGTCTCACTTCCTGCCTCAGGAGAATTCCCCACTCTCGTTCAAGAGGAACCCCCTCCATTCCATTCGGATTCACTTGGCCCCTCTGGCCCCTTGGGGTCTGAATTCATTCAAACCTCTCCAGTTCTGAAAAAGGCAAAGTTAGCTGCAATCCCCAGGTCTTCCCCCGGCCTGGCCTTATCCTGGAAATATGTGGTGGCAGGTAACAGGGCTTTACCCCTGGGGTGAATCATGGGCTCTCAAAATACTAGTTTATTCCTAGACATCTCTAATCCTCAATTTACTTATCTGCAATATATGCAAAATAAATAGTCCCTTTTCCTTCCACAAATGTGGTAAGGATTAAATAGATAACAAAAAGCACCTAGTACATTTCCTGGTAGATCTTATTCAATACATACATATTAGCTACAAATCATAACATGTATTACAGTTTCTCCCTAAGCCAGGTTTCTAAAAGTACTGATCAATACTTAAAGTCACCACTTCCTTTATTCCTTCCCATTTGCTCCTCAACTGCAACCAGCTTTCCGATACCTCCTCTCCATTCAAACTGTACTAGCAGAGATTTCTAATGACCCCGTAATGGAGAAACCAGTACAAGTTCCTTAGTTCTTACCTTTCCGATATCTCTGCAGTGGCCGGTATGACTAACCACTCACACAACCTTGATACACACCACGCAACCGGTTTGGTGACCTGCTTCCCTAACTCCTCCCACACCCTCAGAATACCTTGGAGGGAGATGGCAGAAGGGGGTTCTAGGTTCTTTTGTTTGTGCCACCAGCATCTGGCACAATTCCTGACACACAGAAGACACCCACTGCATGCTGAGAGTCCACCTACAATCTCTCTAATACAAGCCTCTGTTAGACAGAAGCTTCCAACAAGTGAGTATCATCTAAAGGTCTCCTGGGACCTGTAACTCCCACTGTGTTCACGCTGGACAGGGTCCTCTACTCACCCTCTATCCTCTCACAGAGCTTGTGCAGGCCCTGCAGGGGGCAGCCCTCGCACAGCTGGGCTGGTGCCTTGGCCGTCTGCTGCACTGCAGCCACCGTGAAGGCCTGTTTCAGGGTCATCATAATTTCATCAACCTAATCAAAGAGAAGAGAGGTTGTAGCCACCAAAAAGTCAATTTGAAATCAGCTGGGCTGCGATGTCAGGCAATCTACGGAAAATACTTTTTAAGCGTTTAAGATTTTTCTGCACTACTCTTCACAGATTGACGGATAATAATTGGAATAATGGCTAGGATTACAGTCTGAAAATACTACAGGGACCCTCAAAGCTCTTAAAGCAGATAAGGTAAATGACATGGTTTGGCTGTGTCCTCACCCAAATCTCATCTTGAATTGTAGCTCCCATAATTCCCACACGTGATGGGAGGAACCCAGTGGGAGGTAACTGAATCTTGGGGGTGGGTCTTTCCTGTGCTGTTCTCGTGATGGTGAATAAATCTCACGAGATCTGATGGTTTTATAAAGGGGAGTTCCCCTGCACACGCTCCCCTGCCTGACACCATGGAAGACGTGCCTTTGCTCCTCCTTCACCTTCTGCCATGATTGTGAGGCCTCCCCAGCCATGTGCAACTGTGAGTCCAATTAAACCTCCTTTTCTTTACAGATTAACCAGTCTCGGGTATGTCTTTATTAGCAGTGTGAGAACAGACTGATACAGTAAAAACTAAAAATATGAACTACTGAGAAAAAAGGCAAACTCCTTAGACCAGATGTCCAAAATGACACTGTAAAATGCTAGGCCAGTGGGTGACACTGAGCAAGTTCTTCAGAAATAAAAAATATAAAATACACACTGAAGTAAGCTTCAGATGTGTATTAGCTACTTACTGCATAGTCATATGTGAATAACTAAAGACAAATAATGATATGTCAATGACTATCTGGTTTTCCTAGGGACAGAAAAATCAGTGGGGCTAAAATTCCTTGTAAAGAAGGTTCCAAGGTAAGAACTGCTTGTCCTCTCTCACCAGAGCCTCATTTGTGCACTGAAACACGTAACAGACAAAATGAAAGCCGCCACCTCCAGAAGACTCCCGGCAGATAAACCCAAAGTGGTCCACATGTCTGATGCCCTGTCGAAGGGAGAGAACAAGATGTTCAGGTGTATCCAAAAGATGCATCAACATCAGAAATACACCTCAAGATTTACACAGCGCAATTTTATTTATTATTTATTTGAGATGGAGTTTTGCTCTTGTTGCCCAAGCTGGAGTGCAACGGCACAGTCTCAGCTTACTGCAACCTCTGCCTCCTGGGTTCAAGTGATTCTCATGCCTCAGCCTCCTGAGTAGCTGGGATCACAGGCATGTGCCACCACACCTGGCTAATTTTTGTATTTTTTAGTAGAGATGGGGTTTCTCCATGTTGGTCTCGAAGTCCTGATCTTAGGTAATCCACCCACCTCGGCCTCCCAAAGTGCTAAGATTACAGGCGTGAGCCACTGCACTCAGCCTACACAGCACAATTTTAAAGAGCACTAGAAAATTACTGTTTTCTCTGATATTTAAAAAATTTTTTAAGTCTAAAAACATCTCAAATAAGCCTGGTTCACTATAATGTTCCTTTGATTACCTCCACAACAATAAGAGAACTAAGACTTGAAAACTCAAGTTTTAGTACTCATTTTAGTATTTTTTGTTGTTTTGTTTGAGATGTAAGTATTAAAGAATAAAGACAACTCAAAAAAATCAAAGGCAGATCAGAGATTAGTGAAGAAACACAAGTATGCACATATACACATGTACGTGCATGCGCACACACACACCCGAAGGTTAAAAAAAGATTTAAAATACATTTGTACTCCTAAAATAAGTAAATAGTGAAGTGAACTGAAATAAAGAGTCAAAAATTATATGCAAACAGAGTAGAGGAGCATTTAAACATAAGCTGTTAGGTCAAGGCTCTGCCACTAAGAGCTATGTATAATAAATATTATTATGTAAACGTGTTTTAAAATCATCAGCTATCAGAGGCACCTTAATACAAATAAACATTTTCCATAAATTTTAACACATCTATGTGTTCTGAAAGCATCGGCAATCAGAGATAAGAGTGATAACTTAATGTTCAGGTAATTATATAAAGTTGTAAACGACACTCTTTAGGAAATTATAAAGCTATCACACAAAAATGCAAACATTTAACATTAATATTTCAACAGAAATAGCAGCAAATCAGGATAAAAACTCTATGGGTAATGTCACTTTCAAGCCAAATATTTTCCAATAATGAGCAATCACTGACATGCTTTGCCATCTTAATTAATATTGTCCAATAGCAAGTTAAGCATAAGCTAGAGGCTACAACTTCAGGAAGTAGGATTTAGAAAAGCTTTTTCTTTGTAAATGGTTCCCTATTCAATCTATAAAGAATATTCTTTATTTTCACATTTTGTAGAAAAGGAAAGTCCCTTTTGAATATTTATAGACCACATTATAAATCAACACTGACATTTTCACATTTTATCAATTATGAAAATGAAAAATCAGTTTAAAAAAATAAGCAAATATAACTTTAGGTGATCTCGTATTTCTTAGGAAGATCCTGAGTAAAACTGGCACTGCTAATCTTAATTGACAGATTCTTCCAATGTCTCTCTATGAAACACCTGGAAGACTGTCGAGAAAAAAGCTTTCAAGTGGACACTGTACTCTGAGCAAAACATTCCAAAGATAAGCACTATCTATATTTGAAAGGAGAAGAACTACTAATTGGTACCCAAAAAAAGGTATAATTTTTTGTAAAGTAGAAATATGTATCTAATAAAAAGAGACATTTGTGTGAGATGTGTAAATATATATGTGTAACGCACAAAGACACACGTGCATCTGGAAGTCATGACCATGTAATATTACTACCAATAACTGAGAAAATTAAAAGCGGATATATTTTGTCCCTTATTTTGCTAAGAGCCAATTTCTTAATTTCAAAATTATATTTATTATTGACCTTAATATATCAAAGGAGAAAGAAAAGCAAAACAAATATCAATACACTACTTAGAAAACATACACCTTGTAACCTTTAGCACTTCTGTTATATGACAGACGTTAAAGAAATTCATTTAAAAATTCCATTGCAATCAAGTAAAAAAAAAAAAAAATCTCCATTTACCTGAGAGCAAAAGGATATCTCCTTAAAATTTTTCTCCAATGCTATTTTTTTGGTGTCAGGACTGATGAGGTAAACTTCAGACTGGCCAATCTTAAAAGACAAACAAACAAAAAATCTAGCTTTTCAAACTTTCTCATTTCATGACCTATGAAAATAAAGAATAAAAGGGGCAAGCTCCTATAAAATTCTGACTACATCATCGTAGAAATCATTTCAAAGGTTCTCACTTATTCTCTGGATTTCAGGTCGTACCAGACACCTATTACTGCCTTCACTTACTTACACAGGACAGCAGTCTTCCTTGAGATGAAAGAACCAGGTATCCAAAAGTTAGCAATAGGCCTCAAGAGCCACACATCCCCTAAAAACTGAGGTCTCCGCATAAGTGAATCCTCCAGAAAACAGAATCTACTCTTTCAAAGCTTCCAAGATACTTTGAATGAGTTTTACTGACAAGTCTTTCTGAGTTACTGTTAAAATAATCTACCATTTACCAGCACATATTACCAGACCTTTTCAAGTTAGAGTACGAGCATCAGTTGCCATCCTCTTACTGACTCGGGACATGCTAACAGACACGCATTACAGGGGGCTGCTGTGTTGCCATACCCATTCTATTCCGTGTGAACGTGCCCCTGCAGGCTGTGAAAGACTGCCTTTTAGACTCCACGTCTCTGGAGCGCTAAGCCCTTTGGGTTTCAGTGTGTGTTGGTTTCTGTACTTCTAGTTTCTCCTCAGGACCAAGAAGTCGGTGGTCACATCCTAATGTTGCCACTCTAACTCCCAGTCCCAACTTCTCCTCTAAACTCTTTATGCCTTGATGCAAAATACAAATCAGATACATAAGCTTCTTGGAGACTGAGGTCGAGGGGAATTATACTCTCAATGAGGGGGCCCAAGAAACCTGCATTCTGTTTGGGACATGGACTTTGCACCCTGAATCATTTTCACACTTGCTGTTTCTGAACTGTAGAGAGCGGCAGGTAGACTTTTATTCTCGTCTTCCCATGGAGACCAGGGATGATGAAAAACTAATTCATTTTTAACATGCGACATCTTTCTAAATTAGACTGTGTCTCTCTCTAGAGTAGGAGCCATCACAATCGCCTCCTTATTTGTAAAAAACAAATATCTATTTGGAGTACGTTTAGTCTCTTTAGGGGTCACTGTCTTTACCTACATAATGAAGATGGTCCTTATGTTTATTTTTAAAAATAACCTTTGAAAATCTCATAGTTGAGAGGCTCTCCAAGGCATTATTTGGCTGTGGCTGGGTTGTAAAGAGCAAATCAGAATCTAAGATTGGGTGGGGCTCCTGAGATCCCTCTTCTTCCTCATGACATCCAAAGGATTATGCATCTCATTAATTTGACTTCCTGCATGTCTGCCCCTTCCACCCCCAGTGCACTTCAGCACAAACTCCACTATCTCTCACCTGGACTACTGCAACAGCTTCACTCTCCTCCCCATCCTACTCTTACCCTCCCCCAAGTATATCCTGGCTCTGTAGCCAAAGATATTTCACACTATGTTTTAAACCATGTAGTGCCTGCCCACTGTTTCTGGATAAAAAACAAAATCCTGACCAAGACCCATAAAGTTGTGCCTAATGAACACAACTCTCATGGGGCTGCCTCCAGCCCCAGCTCCATCTCTATGCGCCATCCTTCCTTGTTTTCAGAGCAGCCACCTGGACTTATTTCTCACACAACAGGTGTCTACAGAGCACAGCTGTGCTCTAGATACTATAGACGACAGCAGTGAACAGAGAGATGAAAATCCATGCCCTCTTGCAGCCTATCTTCTTGGGGGCATGTGGGACAGAAAATCTTCTATTTGTTTATTTGTAATTGTATCAGATGGATGTTTATTTGTAATTGTACAGAGAAAAACAAAGCAAAAAAGCAGGAAGTGAGGTTGCTAATGGTCTTACTGATAGGATTATTCCTCCATGTCAACATTTCAGCAGAGACCTAAAGGAAGCAAGAGGAGGTGAGACCGTGACAACCGTGGGAAGAATGCTGAGCAAAGGAGGTGCGCAGGCCTCCAGGACTCTCCAGGCACCAGGCACCATCCCTCCCTTAGGACCTTCTCATCTGTTGCTCTGTGAGCCCAGATGACCTTCCCAGGTGGCCACAATGAAACCTATGTTAGGTGACAATCACTTTCTCGAGAAGCCTTTCCTGGTTACCCTAGAAAATGCTCTCATGGCATCCAGTGCCTCTCCTCCACAGCATTTGCCACGACTGTAAGTAGAGAATTATGTGTGCACTCAGTTGCCTGTCTCCCTTACTGGAATCTAAATTCCATGAGGGCAGAGACCATGCCTGTCTTGCTCACGGCTGCATTTCCAGCATGTGGCGAGGGACGTTGGCACAGTAGTCCAAGAGTCAGTACTTATAAATAAATGCATGCAGCAGCTTTCTCAATGTCGCCAAGAGAGTTTTTAAAAGACACAGATCACAAATTAAAGCTCAAATCTGACTACTCTTTTGGTACACTAGATCGGTGGTCAAAAGATGAAAACATCAGCCCTATTTATCCTCTGGTGCACCACCTTGGATTTAAACCTGCACACATCCACGCTGCACTAACCTAGGTAGCTGGTTCCCCCTTTGCCATCTCACTTGTGCCCTGAATTAGACATGAAAAGAGGGCTTAACATTTAAGGTAATTTTGTTCTCTACAGAATGTCAGTCAGCATTAAGCCAAAAAGGAGGCCAAGGAAAAAACTAGCTCCCTCCATCATTAGAGACCGGCTCACTGCTGGGACAGCTCCGCACCTCTTCCATTCAGACCCAGGGGACTCCCGGGGAGGGCATACCCATTCAGAAGAGCCCAGATCAGCATGGAACCAGGAACCCCACGCACCTGGGACAGCCCCCTGTCCCAGCCTTTCCTAGCATTTGGCTCACTGTCAATTTAACATATTTTTTTCTTAAAAAAAAAAAGCAAGCAATTGGCTAAATTGACACTTCAGTTTGGGTATAAATTTCAAATGTAATGTTGCTCACAAAGCCACTTACCCTGACTAGCGAAGGGTAAATGTTTCATAACTAAAAACATTAATAGTAGAGAGAGGGTTTTCCAACTAAAAGATTCTGTTGAAATATATCACCTGAAATTTATCTATCTATCTATCTATCTATCTATATCTATATATAGATAGATTTTTTTTTTTTTTTTGAGACGGAGTCTTGCTCTGTCACCTGGGCTGGAATGCAGTGGTGGGATCTTGGCTCACTGAGAACTCCACCTCCCGGGTTCAAGCAATTCTCCTGCCTCAGCCTCTGAGCAGCTGGGACTACAGGCATGTACCACCACGCCCAGCTAACTTTTTGTATTTTTAGTAGTGACGGGGTTTCACCATGTTGGCCAGCATGGTCTCAATCTCATGACCTGATGATCCTCCAGCCTCAGCCTCCCAAAATGCTGGGATTACAGGCATGAGCCACCGTGCCCAGCCAATTCATATATATTCTTAAACATCTCTCTGTTGGCCTCACATGTTTTCACTGTTCTTCCCACACTGAAAAGGTGTCTTTACAATTATGGGGTGAGATAAAAATTACACACGTGTATGAGATGGATCTCTGCTCCCCCCTGATGACTGTAAAGGCTTATGACTAAAGGAGGGATCTTATTTTAAGAATAGAATTGTTCAGCATGAAAATATATGCATTCACACATAGGCCAAAAGCAACTAAGAATCTTTGCTCCATAAAGCAGATTTTCTCTTGAGCACACATGGCAGACTGGGGCTGAGCACGAGCTGGGTGATATTTTACCGTGAAGAGCATAGTTCGATTTTCCTCAATATCTGTGGGCTGCACAATATTGTGTCCGCTAATAAGGTGGTTCTCAATGTCGCTCTCCTCGAAGGAGCTGAAGAAGCCGCTGCCTCGGAGGCCCGCATCCGGCAGCTCCTTCCTGAAGGCCAGCGAGCGCAGGCCGGGCTGGGAGAAGGACTTGCGCATGGGCCTGCGCCCAGGCTCCTGGCACCCGCCAGTGGGCGCGGCGTGGGGCAGGGCGGGGCGGGGGCTCTCGGACCCCCGGCTGCCGCTGACGTGATTGAACTTCTCGATGCACTCGTCGATCAGGGCTGGCGGAGCCTTCTTGTGCGCCACCGTTACACGGCCGCAGAAGAGCACCTCGAACTTCTTGGAAAACGTGTCGTCGAACTCCGACGGGCAGTGCAGCTCCTCCTGCCGGGCGATCTTCCCCGCCTGCCGGATGGAGCTGATGATCTCAGGCACCTGCCGAGAGAGGGAGGAGTGTTATTTGGAACACGCAGTGTGGCTGGCACTCACGGAATGAAAGCACTATGTTGCATTCATTTCCACACTGAATTCCACACTGGACGCCCCACTGGCTATTCCACCGTGGAGCACTGGAGGAGCCCATGGACGGGGACTAAGAATGTCTTCCCATGGGAGGTGAACACATAGCTTCCACAGAGAAGAGAAGGGGGCGACACTTATGAAGTGCCTCTTATATGCCAGGGGCCGCACTACAGGATTCACATGCCCACAGCACCCTGCAAGGTTAAACCACCAGCCTCGGAACACGCACGGCCCAACCTAGCAGGCCTTGGATTCAAGCCCAGGCTGGTCCCACTCCAAAGCCAAAGGTCCTCTCTGGAGAAGCTGCTGCCTCCCATAGAAGTCTGTCTCCAACGTGCTTCACAAAATGGCTCAATTATTCTAGCTCCCATGGCAGTATACTTTGGAAAGTCTTCTTCAGTAAATAGTGGGATGAAGATCAAGGCTCTGAAATTATCTCATAAATTATTTATCCAAATCCCAGCATCATTATTTCCTTCGATGACAACTCATTTCCTAACAGTTGAATAGTGACTAGTATGTCAACAAAGCTAGGAGGTTTTAACCAAGGAGTAAGCAACCCACGACTAATATTATTCACCGCAATACACTCACCAGGGCCTCTTCACATGGAGACTATAAAGCTTGTGCTTCCCAGTGTTAAAAATCATGATTAAAAGGACGTACTAGAAGTTCTCATCTGCCACGGTGTTGTCCCTACTGCTACATCCTCTCATCATTAACCTCTGAGAAGATTCTTCAAAACAGCATTAGACATAAAGACGAATCCACATGGCAGTGAATGAACAGCTGTGCAACTGCTCAGATGACAGACAGCCTCAGCACTAATATTTGTGGCCAGGCATGAATTTAAACAAGGCTAAGGGAGGCATAAATTTAAGCTTCAAAAGGGCCTATTTTTTGTTGTGACCTAACATACCTAAACCAATTTTTTCCATTTTTCTATGTAAGGAAAATTCAATTTAAGGCCCAATACCCACAGGCCCAATGTCTTTTTAACAACATTATAGAGAAATAAAAAATCACCTTTCCAATTCAGGTCCAAGATCAATGCATACAGTAAAGGAGGTGGTTTTAAACTGTAAAGGTATCCTTGTATTCAGTGTTCATGACATAATTCCCAAACCCAATGACTCAAAAGATTTTTCTCTTTGTGATTTCATATCAAATACACTTTAAAGATCTTTCTGCCATAAAGATTATGAAATATCCTTTCAAAATATTTTATCATACAAAGAGTCAAAAGATCTTTAGTTTTATATTTTAAAGAATTGATTCCTGAAGCACGAGACCTAAATGATACTTTAAGAACCAAAATTTCAGCCAAGCATGGTGGCTCATGCCTGTAATCCCAGCACTTTGGGAGGCCGAGGTGGGTGGATCACAAGGTTGGAAGTTCAAGACCAGCCTGGCCAACCAACATAATGAAACCCCATCTCTACTAAAAATGCAAAAAAAATTAGCTGGGCATGGTGGCGGGCACCTGTAATCCCAGCTACTCAGGAGGCTGAAGCAGGAGAATCACTTGAACCCAGGAGGTAGAGGTTGCAGTGAGTTGAGACTGTGCCATTGCACTCCAGCCAGGGCAAAAGTGCACGACTCAGTCTC